CACCCCTTATGACAGTCTCCTCTTCCACAATCAGCCAAACAACCAGGGAGTGTCTGTGTGTGGGGAGAAGTTGTATCAGAGGACTCTGAGGGGGTGAGTGGAAGACGTGCTACTCAAAGAATGGGGCTTATCTAGTCCTGATGCTTGGTGAGGATGAGAGGAATCCTCGAGGAAGGAGGTTGGCATCCTTGCTTGTTATTCTTAGTTGTGTCTGACTCTTTGCAGCCCCATGGACTGCAGCATGCCAGGCTTCACTGTCCTTCACCATCTCCTGGAGTTTGCTCAAACTCATGTCCATGGAGTTGGTGATGCCATACAACCATCTTGTCCTCTGTTGTTCCCTTCTCCTCTTGCCCTCAATCTTTCCCAGCATCAGGATCTTTTCTAATGAGTTAGTTCTTCACATCAGGTGGCCAAAGTATTGGAGTTTCAGTTTCAGCATCAGTCCTCCCAATGAATATTCAGGGTTGATTTCCTTTAGGGTTCACTGGTTTGATCTCCTTGCAGTCCAAGGACTCTCAAGAGTCTTCTCCAACACCACAGTTCAAGAGGATCAGTTCTTCAGCATTCAACTTTCTTTATGGTCCAACTCTCACATCCATACATGACTACTGGAAAAACCGTAGATTTGACTAGACAAACCTTTGTTGGCAAAGTAATGTCTCTGCTTTTTAATATGCTCTCTAGGTTTGTCATAGCTTTTCTGGCTAGCGGAGAGTAATAGGTTTTCAGATGAAAAGTTTGGCTGTGACAACTCAGTATGTGGCTTGGAGTGAGTCCTAGAGATGAGCTTTTTCTTTTTTTAAAGATTTTTTTTTTTTTACTATTTATTTATAATTTTTACTTTTGACTGGGCTGGGTCTTAGTTGCAGCTTGAGGCATCTTTGGTGTGGCACGTGGTTTTCTCTCTAGTTGTGGTTCTTGGACTCAGTAGTCAAGCCTCACAGGCTTGTGGCATGTGGGACCTTAGTCCCCTGACCAGGGATCCAGCCTGTGTCCCCTGCATTGGAAGGCAGATTTTTAACCACTGGACCACCAGGGAAGTCCCAAGATCATTATCTGTTGGTCCTTTAATGGACCAGAACCTGGTGGTCTGGAGTCGATGATAAGAAAGTAAGAGAAAGAGGCTGATATCCCCTGGTTTATGCGGAAAGCCCATAGAGTCCTGTTCTTAGGGCTCGCACTGCTGCACGTGGGCACCAGGCTCCCTCTCGAGTGGGTGAAGGCATAGTGTGCCTTCTCGAGAGGGTTTTAGAAGCCCGGGCAAGAAAGTGAGCTCAGCGGGTCTCCGTGCTCCAAGGAATTAGCCTGAAATAGAGAGAGATAGAGAGAAAGAAAGACACGGGGACCCAAGCTCTGATGGAGCAAAGGTGTTTTAATCAACAAGGTGTGGGCATATATAAGGTAGTTATTCTCAGCAAAGATAAAGATTAAAATTCCAGACTTACAAGACATAAGATGATCCCTATCAAAGAGAGAGCTGCAAACAATCACCTTTTACCGTTTGGCTCATAAAAAGGAGGAGGGTACTTATCACCGTAATGAGAAATTCCTGGATTCCTCAGCCCCAGGAAAGGTGTGCCTCACCTCTTAATTCCTGAATACTCAGGAATTAATAAGGGTCAGAGGGTTCCTGACAGATCCAAAACAGCACACAGGGAGCCTCTTGTTAAATGCTTCCTGACAATTATCATTATTTTTTTTGGATATGGACCACTTTTAAAGTCTTCACTGCATTGCTTCTGTTTTACATTTTGGTTTTTTGGCTTCGAGGGATCTTAGCTCCCCAACCAGGGATCAAACCTGCACCCCTGGCAATGGAAAGCGAAGTCTTAACCCCTGGACCACCAGGGAAGTCCCCTTGGGGCTGGACTTTTATCATCTGCTCCTGTCTCTTCTTGTTCCTACAGGTCTTGCCCTCCAGCGCTACACCAAGGTCAATCTGGCCCGGATATGCCTTGGGGCTGTGATTCTAATTCTCCTGGTGGGGCTTCTGGCGGAAGACTGGCACAGCCGAAGGAAACCTCCGATGATGCACCGGATCAGAGCTGCACACAGGCCGCTCCCACCCCTCCCGCAGACCCAGAAACCACAGGGTCGTCAGGATAGGGGTCAACCAGATGGTCACAACAGAGGCTTCCGTCACTAGAATCCCAGACTTGGTTTCGTTTAAGAGATTGGTCGTGCGAGTGGGAGGGGACCTAGAGAGAGTGGACTATGAGAGCCACAGTCTACTCACTGTTGTCTTGCTCATTGCCTTTTTTTTTTTTTTTGGCCAGACTGCGAGGCATGCGGGGATTTTAGTTTTATAACCAGGGATTGAACCCATGCCCCCTGCATTGGAAGGAAGAGTCTTAACCACTAGACCACCAGGGAAGTCCCTCCAGATGGACTAATTTTTTTAAATTTTATTTATTTTTAATTGGAGGAGAATTGCTTTACAATGTTGTGTTGGTCTCTGCCACACATCAGCATGAATCAGCCATAGGTGTACACATGTCCCCTCCCTCTTGAACCTCCCTCCCACCTCCCACGCCTCTAGCTGTCGCAGAGCACCAGTTTGAGCTCCCTGCATCATACGGCAAATTCCCACTGGCTATCTATTTCACACGTGGTAGGATATGTGTTTCAGGGTTGCTCTCTCAATTTGTCCCACCCTCTCTTTTCCCCACTGAGGGTTGACTTCTGACATCACCCCCTCTCGCAGCTGACCCAATCCATCCTCTGCCCCAAACTCTCCATGTGTCCCCCTTGCCCACCTGCCTTGGGCTTTTTTTTTTTTTTTTTGTTAATTCTATTGACGTATAGTTAATTTACAGTGTTGAGTTAGTTTCTGGTGTGCAGCAAAGTGAATCAGTTCCTGAGGTTTTTTCCCTTTCTGGTTATCCCTAAACAACCAACACTGTCTTAAGCTACAGTCTGAAAAAAACCTCTTTTTGTTTCTTGGGTTGTACCTGACTCTTTCAGGCTCTTTCTATTTAGGGTACTCTATTCTTTCCTCTTCAAATATAATAATAACCAACATGTTAATGACTTGCCTTTATATTAGAAAAAAAGTCCAAAGTCCTAAGCTTATCCTGAAGGTTTGGATAGGTAAATCCATAGAGACAGAAGACAGACTGGTGGTTGACAGGGGTTGAGGCAAGGAAGATTCTTGTTGGTCAGTTGCTCAGTCGTGTCTGACTCTCTGCAGCCTAATGGACTGCAGCACACCAGGCTTCCCTGTCCTTCACTATCTCCCAGAGTTTGCTCAGATTCATGTTCATTGAGTTGGTGATGCTGTCCAACCATCTCATCCTCTGGTACCCACCTTCTCCTGGTGCCTTCAGCCTTTCCTAGCATCAGGGCAATTACTGAATTGATGATTTTTTTCTTTTCTAGTTTTGCAGTGATGAAAATGTTTTGCAACTAGGTAGAGGTGGTGGTTTCATAACAAAGTGTACTAAATGCCACTGAGTTGTTCACCTTAAAATGGTAAAATTTTATGTTACATGAATTTCACCTTTATAAAAAGAAAACAAAAAACCCCCAGCCTTGCTCCCTGACATCCATCCCTGTCTGTGGGGTCACTTGTCCTAGGGAGGTTAAGTGACATAAGTCAGAACTACTTCCCTTTTATTGTTGCCAGACTGCGGCATCTAGCTGGGTGCCCTCCTGTTAAACCAAAGCCGCTCACAGTCTTCAGACGAAGTCCAGTCTGACTCTCCCATGAATATGACTCTGGTACACATCTGGGGTTCTAGCTCCTACCAGAGTGAACCCCAGACCCTGACTTTGTTAGGGAACTCTCCGCCAGGAGCTGTGATTGGCAAGATCTGGCCCCTCCCCCAACACTGCCAGCCCCCAGGCTGCCTGCCTTCCTGGCGACTCTGAGCTCAGAGTCCTCCCCCAGTGCGCCCTCTGTGCCACTTGGGCTAGAGGAACTATCTAGAAGGAAGTTAAGGTTAGGAAGAAAAATTAAAAAAAAAATTGTGCTTAATAAAAAAGTAATTTTTATAGAAAATAACATTAAAAGGAATGTATATGTGTATATACCACTGAATCACTTTGTTGTACAGCAGAAATGAACACACCATTGTAAATCAACTATACTTGAATTTTAAAAAAGCAAAAAAATAAAGGTTCTAATAAAAAAGTAATTCTTGCACTGCTGCTTTAAGGAATTTGGGGATTCTGTGTGTCCCAAGGGAATTCTGGGGGCTGTAGGAGGAAGAGCTATGCATACCATGAAGTTCTGTTTTCTGTGGAATCATTAAATCATTAACACGGAATCATTAAACGTTAATCAGAGCAATGATGTGATCATACATGTGCTTCATGTATGTGTGTGTGAGTTGCTCAGTCGTGTCTGACTCTTTGCGACCCCATGGACTGTAGCCCACCAGGCTCCTCCGTCCATGGCATTTCCCAGGCAAGAAAACTAGAGTGGGTTGCCATTTCCTCCTCCAGGGGATCTTCCTGACCCAGGGGTGGAATTCTGGTTTCCTGCCTTGCAGGTGGATTCTTTACCTTCTGAGCCACCAGGGAAGGCCACCGAAGCACCTAAGAGGACTGCAAAGTATTGTGGGGTTAGTAGGAGCAAAATACTCCAGTGAGGAAGACTTGTCAGGTGTCTAGCCACACAGATTAGAAATACCACATCTGGGCAATGACTTCGCAGGCAAATCAATGTGATCACCAACGTTTCTTTCCCATTCCCTCACCCCTGGGCTACGTTCTCCCTGAATAAAATATCTTTTCTCTAAGTTCAGTTGGAATCCATTCATAAATAAGACTTCACTCATGAATGCTTTCACCTTTATTTTTCTTGATATACTCAAGACACAGACATTTCATCTACCACAGGGTTAAGCGATGAGTGTATGTTTTATGTAAACCGTTCAGCCATGGCTAAACTAACATCTGGCTCACTAACTAACATCACCGAGAGGATCTTGGTAAGTTCACTATCACCTTGATGATCTAGGACTTTCCTGGAGAATGAATGGCTCCAGCGGGATTCAGAAAATGAAGTCATTAGAAGAAGGTCTGTTATCTTTTGGGTCTCGATGATCACTCTCAATAGTCAGCTGTGGGTTGCTTTCCTTCATTTCTCTCAGCAGCTTCTGGATTCGAGCATCAGATTCATCTATCTTCAACCTAGGAGGCAGAATGCGGGAGAGAGAACGTTTTCTTATTGCTTTGAGGAACTTCATTCCAAATGCCCAGGTGCCTGGCAAAGTTCATGATTTAGGAATTTACGGAGCAAGGGCCATCTGTATTGGTTACTGTATGCTGCAAAGTAGAGTTCCAGATCGATTTGGTAGGGAAAAAAGATGCTATTGGGTTAACACTGGTGGTGGTGGTGTAGTCATGTCTGACTCTATAGTCATGGGCTGTAGCCCACCGGGCTCCTCTGTCCATGGGATTCCCAGGTGAGAATACTGGAGTGGGTTGCCATTTCCTTCTCCAGGACATCCTCCTGACCCAGGATCAAACCCGGGGCTCCTGCACTGGCAGGCAGATTCTTTACCACTGAGCCACCATGGAAGCCCTGGTTAATACTGTAATGGTATAAAGGCACTACATAGCTTTGGGTGCTTGAATGATCTTGGGTGGTTATCATATCATGCTTGGCACTAGAGATGGAGTTGACGAATACCTCTGTGATGGCCGTCTAAAACCTAACCTACTCCATAACATTGACAACTTCTTGGTGAATCCAGGATGAGGTAGACACACTTGAATCAAGTCACTGGAATTAGCTTTTTATCTTCCTTGGCTATGAGCTTCTAGATAACTACCACCCCATATGTGATCTGTGATAAGAGGAGTCTCATTTCTTGGATTTGCCTTTTAGTAACCATATTCAGTCATGTATATGTGGAAATGTGGAGTGGGGAAGGAATAATTAAATTAAAATTACATATAAAAACATGAGACCAAGGATATTGGCTGCTGTGTTTCTGATTGGCATTATAGTCCCAATTATGCTGGCATATTAATCAAAATCTTTTTTGTTGTTTGAGTTTCACAATATGTCCATGCAACAAAACTTCAATTAAAGATGAGTAAGTTCTGGGGGTCTCATGTACAGCATGGTGACTATAGTTAATGATACTGTATTATATACCTGATATTTGCTAAGAGAGTAGATCTTATGTGTTCACACCACACACACAAATGCAATGTGGTGTGAGGTGATGGATGTGTTAATTACATTGATTGTGATGCTCATTCCACAATATATACATACATCAAAATATTACACTGCACACCTTAACTATATACAATTTTGTTAATTAGATCTCAGTTAAGTTGACAGACCACCCCTGCCCCCAAACTCCATGTACCCGGTCAACTTTAAGATAGCTTGAGCAGAAACCTTGTCAGCAATCAATATAACTTTTGCTAAAATATAGGCTAACTAGCTTCAGAATATTTAAAACATGACTCTTTAAGGTCAAACATAGTTGTGTCTATTCGTGATTGTCAGAGGTTGGTCATAGTCTTTGGTAGAAAAACAAAAAAATAGTCCCCACAGATGACCTGTGTGTGGTTGAAAGTGTTGAAGGAACCAGAAATGGGGTGTGAACAACAGGTCAGAAGATACAAATATGTTACTCTAAGAATGAGGATGGTGCTGGAGAAGATGCTTGAGAGTCCTTTGGACATCAAGGAGATCAAACAGTCAATCCTAAAAGAAACCAACACTGAGTATTCACTGGAAGGACTGATGCTGAAGCTGAAGCTGAAATACTGATGTGAAGAGCCAACTCACTGGCGAAGACCCTGATGGTGGGAAAGACTGAGGGAAAAGGAGAAGGGGGTGGCAGAGGATGAGACGGTTAGATAGCACCACCAACTCAATGGACATGAATTTGAGCAAAGTCTGGGAGACGGTGGAGGACAGAGGAGCCTGGTGTAGTGCCGTCCATGGGGTTGCAAAGAGTCGGACATGACTTAGTGAATGAAGAACAAAAGCCATTAATTGTCTAGGTTGCATTTGAGGATTTAAAAGAGTTCCCACACTCTTGGGAAGAGTTTTATGGTTCTTTGTTACCACAGTAGCAAATCAACAATAGAGCAAGAACAATAGAACAGTGAGCAAGTAGAAGACAACCAGCTGGTGATAGCTTCTACGATCATAGATTACTTTGATTAGACAGCAAACTCACTCCAAAGAACATGCTTCTAAGTCTGACATGGACCCATTGGACCTCTGTAACTAATACAGTCCAGAAACAAACTTTCCAAAAATACCATGTGAGAGCTGTGATTCCACTTCCCTAATGAGACAATCGCTGGCTGCCATAGCTCCCCCTCAGGTAGACAAACCCTAAATCCAGCCTCCTGGTTTCCAGGTTGAGTTTTGGTCTCCTTCACCTCATCTTCTCTGTCAAAACAACAGAAGGAGCCTATGGGAAAATTATCTCATAACCAGATGTCAATAAATGAAAGTTGAATGTGAGTATTAAATGCGTACAACAAATTCCTGTCATTTGTGTTCCCCCAAAATCTAGGATCACGGAGCAAAAACTCAGGGGAGTAGGAGGATCATACCTGAGTGTCTGGAGGGGACAGATTTGAAGTTTCAAGGCATCACACAGCATATTTACCCCACTGGACCCCAAGGAATTTTGGCCCAGGTCCAGCGTGATCAGGTTCTGATTGCTTCTAAGGGCAGACGAGAGTTCTGCACAACAGAAGGGGGTGATGGCACATCCCCACAACCTGTAGGTGAAACACACATTCCCTGATTTACTCAGCCAGTGCTCCTTGATACCATCCTGCTTCAGCGCACAGGCTTCTCATTGCAGTGGTTTCTCTTGTTGGGAAGCATGGGCTCTAGGGTGTGCAAACTTCAGCAGTTGCAGCTCACAGGCTCCAGAGCACAGGCTTTAGTAGTTGTGGCACATGGGCTTAGGCGTCCTGTGGCATGTGGGATCTTCCCGGATCAGGGATCGAACCCGTGTACCCTGTATTGGCAGGTGGATTCTTTACCACTGAGCCACCAGCAAAGCCCCATCCTGGTGGAATTTTTTAAATGCTCACTGAAATTTGCGGGGGAGGTCTGCTATATCGAAAGGACCTTTTAGATACAGACTAAAGTTCACAAAACCGTAACTCACCATAGACAGCTTAGTTTACACAGTGGTTTCTTCAAAGCTTCGCACAGAAACTTCAATCCCATAATTCCTATGTGATTCAGTCCCAGATCCAAGTGTGTGAGGTTTGAGTTTTGCTGGAGGAGTGTTGAGAGGTGAATGCAGCCATCGCTGGTTATGTTGCAACACCATAGCCTAGAAATCAGATCACATGACGAAAACATTTTTCTTTTCTCCCACCGATGAGACACACCCAAACCAGGACCATCTATCTCGAGCCACGGCTTTTTAGATGAGTTTGAAGACAATGGAGACAGTAACTAGAAACTGCCCTACTTGAATCCAGTGTGCACGTATATACCTACAACACTCACACTCACACACACACAGCCAGCACAGACTTACACCAGGGTTTGCAGTTGACACTCAGGGTAAGTCAGGCCCTCACACAGCAGTTTCACCCCACGATCTCCAAGAGCATTCTTGGCCAAACACAGGTGGGTCAGCCTCTGGTTGACAATCAAAGCAGAAGACAGATCTTTGCAATAGGCTTCTGTAAGGTGACAGTTTTCCAACCTGCAAAAGCACCATGCAGGTAGCAAGATGGTCACGCAGGTAGCAAGATGGTCACGCAGGTAGCAAGATGGTGAAAACATTTCCAGGACCCAACTTTCCTGGCTGTCTTCAATGACTTCAGTCCTCGGTCACACCCCTTTTTGTTAATTCTCTGCCCTCGCTCAATGGTGTGCTAGTGATCATGGTCATAAATGGACAGGAATGAGAGAAGGATGAGATACATGAGCCATTTGTCTGGGGCCGAAAGTGGGAGCCAGGCATCTATATCAGTGGGGCGTTCCATCCTGGTCACCCAGCAATTCCAGGTGTTATCTCTGCCCTTCTCTGTGTGACCCTACATCTACCACAAAGATGCTCGATGGAAAAAGAGGAGAGACTTACGACAACCTCTGTAGGAAGCATGTCGGATATCTCAGAGTCATGTATAACAACTTGGCTCCCTCATCCAGGAACTCATTTGCTGTGAGGTTCAAGCATGTGAGGGACTGATTGGTTTTGAGGCAGCAGGAGAGATCAGCCCATTGCTGAGTGGTGGCAGAACAGGACACCAACCTGCAGGAGAAATGGCAGGTCAAAGCCATTCACGAGGACCAAACACTGGATACACAACTGTCTACAGTTTCGTCTCTCTCTCTCTGTTATGTTAGGGCTTCCCAGGTGTCTCTAGTGGTACAGAACCCACCTGCCAGTGCAGGAGACTAAGAGACGTGGGGTCGATTCCTGGGTCAGGAAGATCCCCTGGAGGTGGGCATGGCAACCCACTCCAGTATTCTTACCTGGAGAATCTCATGGACAGAGAGTCTCGTGGGATACGGTCCATGGGGTCATAAAGAGTTGGACCCAGCTGAAGTGACTTAGCATGCCATTATGCTAACCCTGGACTAAATTATCTGGAGCAGAGGTTATCCAAGTGTGATTCCTGGACCAGTTGCATCAGCACCATCTGTTAACTGTGTAGAAATGCAAATCATCTAGAGACTATAGATGTAGAGGCCAGTGATCTATTTTAAGGTATCCATCCTGCAGTCACCTGGAAGATGTCTTTTAACAAATTCCTGGACCATATACCCAGAATTTGATTCTGAAGATATGGGTGAGACCCAAGAATTTGGATCTTTTTATCAAGTTCCCTGGTGATGGTGCTGTTGCTGGTGGTCTGGAGATGACACATCAAGAACTACTTATTTAGAAGTCCAGCCAACCAAGGATATTGTGCAACTATATTCTATCTGGAGATACATATTCTATTCCTGGAGGTACACATTCTTTATCATGAGGAAATAAAACTTTATTGGAACATGATATATAGTATCATGATAAAGAATATGCATTTCCAGGAGTAGAATACAGGTAACATGCTTTTCTTTCTTTGGAGGGCAGGGCCACGCTGCCTGGCATGTGGGATCTTTGTTCCCTGACTAGGGATTAAACCCGCACCCCCTACAAGGAAAGCATGGAGTCTTAACCACTGGACCTCCAGGAGAGTCCCCTCCAGCTCATTTGCTATTCTGGGGCATGTGCCTTAAGTAGTGGTGGTTGTTTAGTCATTAAGTCCTTCCAACTCCGTCCGGTCAGAATAAGGGATTCCCACCCCTCTCCGATTTGCACAGAATTGCCGTTTAGGTTTGCGCCAGCTCTGTTCACAGGCTGAGGATTTTCAGCGATGGTGAGGCTGATATACCTGAGATACTGCAGATTACATTTGGGGTTCCTCAAGACCTCAAAGGTATCCATCCTGCAGTCACCTGGAAGATGTCTTTTAACAAATTCCTGGACCATATACCCAGAATTTGATTCTGAAGATATGGGTGAGACCCAGAATTTGGATCTTTTTATCAAGTTCCCTGGTGATGGTGCTGTTGCTGGTGGTCTGGAGATGACACATCAAGAACTACTTATTTAGAAATCCAGCCAACCAAGGATATTGTGCAACTATATTCTATCTGGAGATACATATTCTATTCCTGGAGGTACACATTCTTTATCATGAGCAAATAAAACTTTATTGGAACATGATATATAGTATCATGATAAAGAATATGCATTTCCAGGAGTAGAATACAGGCAACATGCTTTTCTTTCTTTGGAGGGCAGGGCCACGCTGCCTGCCATGTGGGATCTTTGTTCCCTGACTAGGGATTAAACCTGCACCCCCTACAAGGAAAGCATGGAGTCTTAACCACTGGACCTCCAGGAGAGTCCCCTCCAGCTCATTTTCTATTCTGGGCCATGTGCCTTAAGTGGTGGTGGTTGTTTAGTCATTAAGTCCTTCCGACTCCGTCCGGTGAGAATAAGGGATTCCCGCCCCCCTCCGATTTGCACAGAATTGCCGTTTAGGTTTGGGCCAGCTCTGTTCACAGGCTGAGGGTTTTCAGCGATGGTGAGGCTGATATACCTGAGATACTGCAGATTACATTTGGGGTTCCTCAAGACCTCACACAACGGGGGAAGCATGTCATTCTGGTCGTTTCCTTGAAGGGTCAGATGTGTTAAAGTCTTGTGACCAGCAAAAGCCATGCAGAAGTTCCGATAAGTGTCAGCTGGGGAAATATTTTTGAGGCTAGGGAAAAGAAGCAGGTGTTAGTTTGAGTTTATATACCTATACTGCATACACATAGAATAAAGAACTGCCATGTGCTTAAATGTTAGAAGTAACTTTTCATATTTTTACCTTTATTGACATAAAATTGTGTGTATTTAAAGCATATGACTCCAAGTTTTGATATACAAGTGCCTTGTGAAGTCACCCCTACTATCAAGCTACCACTGCACAGATCCCTTTCTTTCTTTTCTTCTGTGGTGAGGACACTTATGATGAACTGTCTTAGCAAATTTCACATATTCAGAGCAGTATTGTTAGCAGTCATCACATTGCTATCCATCAGGTCACCAGAATTTACCATCTTGCATAGCTGAAACTATGTGCTGTTTAATGAACAGCTCATTATAATTAGAAGCTCGAGTTTCATTTTTTTTAAAGCAGGAAAGAATTTTAGTTATCCAATCCTTCTCACAGAAGCAAAAGATCCTAGCTGTCAGTAGCTGTTATGTCATAGATGGATAGATGGATAGACAGACAGATAGATGATAAACAGATCTTATGAAAGTAGAAGCTCCAATTTCTTTAGTTGTTTCAAACTTTTGCCAAAGGGAAGTCAGTCATTTTAGACAAAAGCTGTTCTCCTATGGCTTTTTGAGAAAGATAAGGCAGCATCTCTTTTTCTTGAAGTGTTACCAATGGATGCATTTTCAACAATGCTATGTCCTTGATAGCATATTAAAAAGCAGAGACATTACTTTGCCAACAAAGGTCCGTCTGATCAAGGCTATGGTTTTTCCAGGAGTCATCTCCAGATGTGAGAGTTGGACTATAATGAAAGCTGAGCACCGAAGAATTGATGCTTTTGCACTGTGGTATTGGAGAAGACTCTTGAGAGTCCCTTGGACTGCAAGGAGATCCAACCAGTCCATCCTAAAGGAGATNTGGGGTGCTGCGGTTCATGGGGTCGCAAAGAGTCGGACATGACTGAGCGACTGAACTGATACTGATGTCCTTGATGACAAAATTATAACAGAGTAATCACAGTTCAGGTGTTCATAATTGGAGTCAGGCGGCTGCTGAGAACCTGGTCTCAGACACCTCTCTGCATCACTGAGAACTTGAACTTTCTTTAAAAGCCCAAGGACACCACCCTCCAGCCCCACCCTATGGTCCCTGAAACCTCCCCCTTGTAACTATGTGACCATTTCGGACCCCAAGCAATCCTTGGTCAGGAGGCACTCTTACTTCTTGCCAGCTCCAATTATAATTCTTGATAAACAATTCAGGTAAGTGACTGTAACCCTGCATTTTCTGCCTTATAAACCTCCTCAGTTTGGTAGTCCGGTGGAACACAGTTCAATCATTCCCTGAATCTGTGTCTCTTGGGCTGTGGTCCTAAATGACCCCAAATCAGTGCCTTTTAATCTCAATCAAGTCTCCATTTTTGAAATGTTGGTTAACAGCCTGCTGAATACTTTGACTCCAAGGAATGCTCTTGGGCTTAGAATCAGGACTGCAGAGCCAATAAAACGCAAAGTGGGAAGAGCTCTTATTTCTCTGCGTTGAAAAAGAAAAATACCAAAAGAGGATGCCAGCAGCTTGGGAGGGTCTCACTGACATCAAAGGTAATGTAGCTGATTCAATCACTCCTTCCTCCTGACTCACTTGCCCAAACGGAAGCTTGCAGGGTTTTCCAAGAACACTAGTTACACAAACGAACCTCAGGTCCAGGAAAACTCTAACTAAAATGCTGTCTTAGGGGGACAAAATGTAAGAAGCTTGGACATGCCCTGGGGGCTTTAATCCAGGGACGAGCTGCTACTTACACCACTTTCTGCAGACTAGAGGCCGCAGAGACTATTTTTTCGCCAAGAATTCTCACTGAAGAGGCATTGAGGAAGCTCTGACTGATGTCCAGAAACAGCAGATTCCTGCTTGAGTCAAACACAGAACAAAGATCCATCCAGAGGGGGAGCATGTGTTGATCATTCTGGGACCTATGGGAAAGAGATGAAGGAGAGGACTTAACAAATACTGCTGGAGAGAAAAGTGACATTTGTCCAACTTCATGAATGTACTTCAGGTTGCTCTGTGCATTATTGTTGTTTAGTTGCTCAATTGTCTTTGACTCTTTGTGATCCTATGGACTGTAGCCTGCCAGGCTTCTCTGTCCATGGGATGTCCCAGGCAAGAATATTGGAGGGGGTTGGCATCCCCTTCTCCAGGGGATCTTCCTGACCCAGGGGTCGAACCTGCATCTCCTGAACTGGCAGGTAGGTTCTTTACTACTGAGCCACTTAGGAGGCCCTAATAAGAAATTATAACTCTAAAAGTTGGGTGATTTAATTATTTAGCACAAGTATAAGACAACCCAATACCCAAGACATATTACTGGAGAAAGAACTTGAACTTCTCACATGTCAATTTAACAGAGGCTTAAAATAGTCAAAATTCTAACCGTATCATTGATCGAAGATTGAGAGCAATATACATCATTGATAAACACTTAAGCGTAGTGTACACATCAATGAAGGTTATTTGAATATTTGATGGTATATCCATATAAAACATATTCAAGCTAATTTATAACCATATTTGCTGACCTAAGATGATGCCCATAAAATTTTGAGAAAATACAATCCTTAAATGGTTGCATATTCATGTACAAAGATTTCTCAAAGAATGGTAATTTTGTTCTGGTGATTGCTTTTGAGTGGAAGGATTTTTGCAGAGGAAAGATATAAGTCTGCCTGCAATGCAGGAGACCTACGTTCGATCCCTGGGTCAGGAAGATTCCATGGAGTAGGAAATGGCAACCCACTCCAGTATTCTTGCCTGGGAAATCCTATGGACAGAGGAGCCTGGCAGGCTACAGTCCATGGGATCGCAAGAGTCAGACACAACTTAGCGACTAAACAAAGATTTAGATAAATTAGTAGTGAGAGAAGGGGAAAAATTAGAATGTGAATATAAATGGATCCATAAGGTAGAGAAATGCTGATGTCAACTTATCGTGGTCCTAACACTTTCTGGAAGTAAATCAAGCTTATGACTTTACCAAGTGGTGAAGGAAAGTGAGAGAACATCAAGGGAATATGTAAAACAGACACCTCCACCGGGGGCTAACGAGGGCATTTTATTCTAGTTTAACAAATATCCATGAAGATTTCAGACACAGATGACAACCTAGGAGAGAGGAAGAGGTGAGTTGATAAGATAAATACCAGTATGTTGACAGGTATTACACATCACCCTGAGGCAGTGACTTTAGATTGTGACCGCAGGACTTTATAAGCCAATAGACTCGAGCTCTACTCCCAACCAAACATTCTTTTCTGAAGCCAGTATCTTCATCTTAACTTGGAATGTGACCTGGTTCTAGCAGGTGCCAAGTTAGGAGTATTTGGAAACTGCACATGATCTCAGTTGATGTTATTTGTGCCTAAATTGAAAATAACAAAGATTCATAACTGGCCATCTCATTATCTAAGTCTGTCAGGTGAAATTCCTGGGAGAAGAGTCTCCA